ATGTGTGTGTGTGTGTGGGTGGGTGGGTGTGTGCTCTTAGTTTCGCAGATGCATGACATAACCTATTGACAACTCCTGTTTACTCCAAAGGCAAGAGATGGTATGGATTCTTGACTGTGCGGGCGTAGCCGCACTGGCTATACTTGGGGTTGTTTTGACTGTTCTGTGCTCAGGGCAAGTGGGAAGGTCTACTTTCGTGAGAAAATTTATTTGGCGAGGACTGTATTGAGGGTGATTCTTGGCAAAGGATTGATGCTGTGAGCTAAGCGAGCTTGAAGTAGGCCGGAAAAGGGATGAGAGTAGAAGAGGTGGTATTCAGCATGAGTGAAGGACTGTGGAAGGGATGGAGCAAGTATAACAGCGGGAGCGTGTGTGCAGGGAAGGAGGAATGGATCAATGGTAGTCTTGATTTTGTCAGTCAATAGATTTTGCCTGAAGGGAAGTGTTTTGACCTTGCATTCATTCTATAGCAGCCATCGGGGAGAGCTCATTGGTTTGGCATGAAAAGGGGCACGAGCCCGGATAAAAATCGTTCCCTAAGTATGGGTGGGATCTCAAAGGGCGCGAAGACCAAGCGTACATTGAGCCATGCGCCACTGGCAGGTGGCATGTCTCGGCTCTCAACTTTGCCTGCTGGAGGAGGTGGTGGTGGTGGTGGAGCAGGGCAAACTTCCAGCTCACGGCCATCCGTTGATGTCCGTCTCTCATCAGTCCATCCCCCAAGTGGGATTAGCAGGAGGTCAGCTGGCTCTCTTTCGTTTGCCTCTGTGGGAACCACAGGTCGACGCTCAAGTGCATTTGGGAAGCCTCAGCAGAGCGCCCGTACTGACCCTCGTCCTATCAATGACAAGAATTACCAACAGAATTGTATACGTGTCATCCTCCAGTTCCTTCAGTCTCATGGCTTCAATATGCCCATGACTGTCAAGCAGCTGAGCTCGCCAACGAAGATCGACTTTATGAACTTGATCACCTTTATCTATCATGTGATTGATCCGAATGAGAAGCTGGAAGGCAAGATCGAGGACGAAGTCCCAGCCCTTTTTAAGCGCTTGGGGTATCCTTTCCCGATCAGCAAGAGCGGTCTTTCTGCGGTTGGATCGCCACATACGTGGCCGGCTCTGCTTTCTGCACTAAGATGGCTTGTGGATGGCTGGACAGCAGTGGAGCGCTCAATGTCAATAACGCAAAGGAGAGAGGAGGAGGGAAAAGCGGCCTTTGACGAGTTCATAAACAAGGCCTATCCTCTGTTTTTGGAGGCAAAGGACGATCTGGTGGAGTCTATGAAGCAGGAGCTACAGCAGAAGATGGCGATCAGTTTCAGTTCAAGGGAGAAGATGAATCTCGAGCTGGAAAGGGAAGTTTTGCTGCTTGAAGAAGAAGTCAGAGCGCAAAAGGAGGGGCCGTCCCCAAAGCAGCTTGCACTCACGAAGAAGGAGCAATGGGCAGAGAATATTGCCAAATTTGACAAGTGCATTGCAGGAGTGCTCGAGAAGGAGGAGGAATTTGAGAGAGAGCTTGAACGCAGAAAGCAGGAGCTGGTCGAAAAGGAGGAGGAGGAGGCCAGACTGCTCGCTGACATCAAAGAACTGAAGGAGAAAGTCTCCTCCCAGAGAGTCACTGTTGAACAGGTGAACAACTGGAGACGAGGTCAGGGGATCATGGCAGGGGAGCTGAGGGTTATTTCTGCTTTAAAGAAAGAGAAGATGGAAAGCATTCTCGCAAAGGAGATGCAGATTCCACGAGAGCGTGCAAAGCTGAATGAACTCGTCTTAGAGTATAATGTCCTCATGACGAAACTGAAGCTGATTCCTGAAACAGCTAAGCAAGCTAATGGCATAATTTTGGAGATCGCTCTGAGAGAGGATGCCACCTCCGCTCAAGAGTACTTCAACATCGACTTAAAAGCTGTCGTCAAGCCACACCTTGCCGAGGTTCTGAAGGAAAGAAGAGCAAAGTGCTGTGCAAAATCAAGCGAGTTGTCTGCAATCCACTCAGAGGAGAATGCCCTCTGTACAGAAATAGAGGCCAGGAAGGCGTATATCCAATCACTGGCTGCAAAACTGAAGAAACGGGAGGCAGACCACAAACGGGCGGCTGAGATGCATCGTGCTGAGATTGAGGACAAGTTGAAGGAGATCGAGGAGACAGAGGTGGACATTTTCAGGATGCGGAGCGACAGATCCCTGGAGGTAGAAAGTGAGAACCATGCAGCCGCATTGCAAGATCTAATGTCTGCAGAGACAGAACTGAGGAGGCGACGGGAGGTCTTGAAAACTAGGAGTCTGACTCTAGTCAGGAAGCACATGGATGCCAAGGACAGAATTACTCAGCAGATGCTCGAATCCCGGAAGAAGTTGGAGGACATGGCAAGGCAGGTCAAAGCTCCACTTGATGCCGTTTGGGCCCGTGCGCATGGGGAATGCAGTGCAACCGCACTTGTGATGGAGGAGGGTGCTGCTGCTGCTGGAGGAGGTACTGATCTTCATGTGTCTCCAAGGGCGCCACCTCACGAAGAGGGGATTGAAGGATTGGTTGCTCAGCTAAAAAGCACAGACGATGATTCTGCTCTGATAGCGACAAACGAGAAAGATGGAAGTGACCTTGCACTATTTCCCCTTACCAACAACGAAACTCTATAGCTATGCAAAGTTGAAAAGGTTTCCTTGTGTTCTTGGTTATTGGATTCCACAGAGGTTTCGTTGTATTTTTTACCATTGGATTCTCACATTTGTGGACGCTGTTCTCCAAAGAGGTGCTTTACATGTGTTTAGTCTGCGCTCTATATAAGTGACACTTTGCGTTTCTGTTTTCCTTAGTTACTGCGTTGCATCCGTGTAATTCTGGTAGTTGCCACCTGTCGTTATGTCTTTCTTCCTGACCGCTGAACGAGAGAGAGAGAGAGAGAGAGAGAGAGAGAGAGAGAGAGAGAGAGAGACCAGCAGCAGCTTATGATTTGTGTGTGTGTGTGTGTGTGTGTGTGTGTGTGTGTGTGTGTGTGTGAGAGAGAGAGAGAGAGAGAGAGAGAGAGAGAGAGAGAGAGAGAGAGAGAGAGAGAGAGAGAGATGGTTTAACTTACTGAATGGCGACTTGTATTGATTTGTGTCTTGCAGGGCAGAAATTTACAGATATTGTCGGGAGTGCGTATTATGTGGCGCCCGAGGTTCTTGGCCGTAATTATGGTCCTGAAGCTNGAGAGAGAGAGAGAGAGAGAGAGAGAGAGAGAGAGAGAGAGAGAGAGAGAGAGAGAGAGAGAGAGAGAGAGAGAGAGAGAGAGAGAGAGTATTTGGTTTTCCTTCACAACAACGCATTGCACCTGCTACTTGACTGGTGTGCCCCCAAGATCAATCACCTGATCAGGGATCAAGCCACTCGTGATTTGAACGTCCCCGGTCACAGTGACGGCGGATTGCCGCAGATGGACGATGCCGGTGCTGGGGCATGGGACACACACACACACACACAAACACATGCCAGAAGGGTTGCTGTGAGTGAAGTCGACCACTTTTCTCAGGGCCATCGCTAACTGGTAAGTCCTTATGCATCAATCAAATGCATCCTGGGCGGACTGCCGCGGTTGAACCTCCTGATGAGTTGGTGAAAGTCCAATGAAAAAGTCTGACACAGTCATGTTTTTTTTGTGGAGTTTTGTATAGCGAACATTAACATTACCACACTTGTCACAAAGTGCTTGGACTGAGCACACCATAGACGATGACATGTTCTTGTCAGAGGGGATTGATGGATCTTTTCCACTCGGCCAATCACAAACTGTGGCTGCTGTGACAAGGAAAATGAAGAAATGGAAAGGGAAAATAAGCTCGCACGTTGTCCTCCCAGGGCGTGCAATAATTTTGCAATTGTTCTGGCTTGTGAATACGACTTTCCCCAACGATAGTCGTTCTTGCGTTGCTCACGTTGTGAGTATGAGATACTTGTAACGGATCTGCATTTTAGTACTGCGTTGCAGGGAAGGGTCTGAGTGCCAGTGGGCGAGGCACTCCGGCAATCTTTCTATTGTTTGGTACTGCCAGCACCATTTTGATGTGTTTCGATTATTTCAAACAAGAAACTTTGAATGCTTTTGAATCTATGGCGTTAATTCTACTCTCTACTTGTAGTCTGCTTTTCATGATCTCATCTAACGATTTGATTGCCATGTATTTAGCTATGTAACACCCGCGGACGCGTCCGCGGGTCCAATCTCGGATGGCGGACGCAGACGGGTCCGCATCCGCAGCCTACCTGGTCCGCGCCGCGGACCCGATTTTACCAGAATTTTCCTGAATTAAATAATTGGTTAAAAAAAAAAAAGCGGTTGTAGGGAATTTTAAGCCCTACAACCCCTTTTTTTTTTTTTTTGGAATCCGACTTTGTTTTGGATTTTTAAAAAATCAAAAACTAAATTCGATTTTAAAAACATTAAAAAAAAAGAAAAAAGTTGGATTTTTTTTTTGTCATTTTTTATCATCAGATATATGGTCCCTGAGTTCACCTGTATTTTTTAGAAATGAATTTCTGTTTTTTGC